AAAAAAAAAAAAAAAAAAAAAGGCAAAGAGAGAAAAACACCTGTCCCTTATGCGGGGTATAAAATATCAAGCCTGACGCCGCCGTGCTGTGTGTAATCAGTTAAAAAGCCCTTAATGTGCAGTTCTTGATGCTCTCCCCAGCAGCTTTTTTTTTCTTTTTCCTCATTTTTTTTTTTTCTCCCCCTGTTGTTCCCGCTGCCTTTGAGCGTGCACAGGGGAGGAACTTGCCACGCCGCTTATTTAAATCTCTGCAGCGAGGGACTTTTGCGATATAGAGGCAAAGGTGATACGGGGATGCGCGAGTTGCTCTCCTGATCCGACAGCACTGCTGCGTCCCGACGCTGATGCTCGCCCCGGCAGTTGGCGAGAAAAATGGGACAGATTTGCAAAATAAAAGTGTGTGATGTCTGGATCAAACTCCCAGAGATCAGAACTAAGTCCTGGGGGCATCGTTTCAGCTTTTTGTTTCACTTAGTCTAAGACCACAGCAAATTTCATCTCCTAATTTTTTTTTCATTTAACCCTTATCCGGTTCTCCAGTGTCTTTTACTCAGCCCCGGTTTCCCACCACGTGGGTTACTTTGGTAATACAGATACACCCACTGTCTGCAAAATATTAGATGTTTTATATTTATTAATGCCGATCTCTTGGTAGCGGCTCTTAAACGGGCAATCCCGAGTTGGTAACCGATCTAAAAATCAAAACTTGGACTCCTGGGAACTCCTTAAAGGTCTGAGACATCAAACCCCCTCTCCTGCATCTCCTCCCCTGCTGCTTTGATGCTCAGAGAACCTTGCTTGTATTTAAACTTCTTTTTGCACGATGCAAAAGCTTCTAAAAATACCATCATGCCGGAGCCTGAGTTTCCTCCGTAAATCCCAATTGACAGCGAAAACGTGTAATTACGGAGCTTCTTAACCAGAAGCATTACGAAGCCGGTGGGCTGTCTCCTCCTGGGTAAATATTTAGGTGGTTTTCTAATAGTTTGGGGAGGATTTGCATGTGGGGTGAGTAATTAGGCAGTGGGGAAGCGTGGATGAAGGGTTTCTCAGCCAGCTGCCAGTCTGATGCTTTGCCAGACCCGGTGTCGGCATGCTGGATCGGATCTCACCTGGATTTTGTGGATGGGATCAGCTCTCGGGGGGGCTAAACTGCCTCTAGGCTGTGAATTAATTCACAGCAAGAGCCCTTAACTTGACGGGATCTGGACCTTGCCTGTCCACTTTTATAACAGCGTGACTTCTTGCCAGAAAATGGGCAAAAAAGACCCCAAACGTTATGCCATGGATGTATTTTTGCTATGTAGAAAATTAAAACCCAGTGACATGAGGCTGTTGCACCCTTTATTTATTTACTTATTATTTATTTCTTTAGTCAGTCCTCCTTTCTGGTCAAGATGTGGTTGTCAGGCTGCTTTAACTAAAAGGATGGTGCCCAAGCACGGGAGCGTGTTTGTCCCCGAGAGTCCACTTTTATGCCGGAGTATTAAATATTTAGAGAGATTGTCTGCTGCTCTGGGGAGCCAGCTCCTGGTATAGCCTGTCCTGCTGAGCTTGCTTTAAGGAGCATTAAACATAATTGCAGAGGGCTGAGGGATGCTCTATCCCTACGCTAATGGTCGGGCTTTAATTTGGGTCTTTCTCCCTGCATCACTTGGGAGGTCAAACTCGTTGGAGCGCGTCGGCCCCTTAACCCACGAGATGCTCTGCGGCATCTTCGCAGCGACCCGCGTGTGATGTGCCTTGATTTTAACACTGAAAACAAGTTTAAAAGATGCTCCTACAGCGAGGCAGCTCTGTGACGAGGTGGAAGGCAAAAAAAAAAAACAAAAAAAACCCCCCAAGCCCAGCACAAAAGCCCTCGGGGGTGACTCAAAACGCCCGGTTGATACTCGACGCACTTGGGGCGAGCTCGAGCGAGCTTGTGGCAAGCTTGAACGCGCTTGCCAGCGAGTTGTGTGGAGCGTGCTCGATGCTTCTGATCGACAGGCATGTGCCACCCGCGCCGGCATCGCGCCTGCGCCAGCGTTTTTATTTGCAGAGGGAACAGATGGGGCTTCGCCGACGCCGGCAGCCCGAGTGACAGCTCGCGCGCGGGGAGAGCGCGCTGCCGCGCTATCAAATTCCACTCGTTCACTCCCCAACACGCCCGGGCTGGCAGGTGAGTGACTGAGCTGCTCTTGTACCACCTGGAAAGCTGAGATACAGCCTTTATTTTCAATTCATTCTTTCCTACGCCACTCAAGGACAATTTAATTATGTGCGTGCACGTAGCGGCGGCAGGCGCTGGGCTTCCCCCGCCGGCTGCGGGGAGCAACCAAGCCGAGCATGAAAATTTGCTGGACTGATAGTACAAGCGTGCGAGTGGCCCAGAGGGATTTTTTTTGGCACGTTTGGGTGCTGGGGGGAAAGGTCCCTGCTGTGTTTGGAGCTGGCAAGGAGCCCTTTTGCTGTGGCTGGTACTGTCAACGTGGAGGCCTGTAAAGAACATCCTCACCCACTGGGCTCTGGGAGCTCTTTGCTTTGGGTTAAGCAATAAGATCATGGAATCACAGAAGGGTTTAGGTTGGAAGGGACCTTTGAAGGTCAGGGACAGAGATATCTGATTGAAGGAGCTGGGAGTGTTCAGGGTGAGGAGGAGGAGGCTGAGGGGAGCCCTCATCCCTCTCTGCAGCTCCTGACAGGACATTGCAGAGAGGCCGGGGCTGGGCTCTGCTCCCAGGGGATCAGGGACTGGACAAGAGGGAACGGCTGGAAACTGCCCCAGGGGAGGGTCAGGCTGGGCAGGAGGAGAAAATGTTTCCCAGCCAGAGTGGTCTGAGAGTGGAACAGGCTGCCCAGGGAGGGGGGAGTCCCCATCCCTGGGGGGGTTTCAGGGCCGTTGGGATGAGCTGTGGGGGATGTGGGGTAGGGGAGAACTGTGTAGAGTCGGGCTGAGGGTTGGACTCGCTGACCCCGAGGGGCTTTTCCAACCTGAAGGATTCTGTGATCTTCAACCAGGTCAGGTTGCTCAGAGCCCCGTCCAACCTGACCTTGAATGTTTCCGGGGAAGGGGCATTGACCACCTCTCTGGGCAACCTGGTCCAGTGTCTCACCACCCTCATTGTGAAAAGTTTCTTCCCTCTATGTAGTCTAAATGTACTTTCTTTTAGTTTAAAACCGTTACTCCTTGTCCTGTTGCTACAGGCTCTGCTAAAAAGTTTGTCCCCATCTTCCTTACAAGCCTCCTTTAAATATTGACAGGCCACAAGGTCGCCCCGGAGCCTTCTCCTCCCCAGCTGAACCCCCCAACTCTCTCAGCCTTTCCCCCCAGCAGAGCTGCTCCAGCCCTTGGACTGTTTTTGTGGACCCAAGATACTGAAGGCTGCATGAATTCCAGAAAAAATTTCTCGATTCTGAGCAAATTTTCAATTGTTTTCTTCTCTGTTTCCAACAGCGAGGTTGCACTGTGTGCCCAGTCCTGGCTTCTCTCCATCCGGCTGCCCGAACAGATCAGCTACGAGCCGATACATCGCCAGGTCTGTCCTTGCGGGGAGGGACGCCGTGCTGCCCCTCCGGGTGCTGCGCCTGATCTGGGCTCAGGAGGTTGTCAGAAGTTTGAGACGCAGCTATTTAACTGGCTGTTCATTCGGTGAAGCTCTGGCTGCTGCTTTTCTCCTATCCTCTGCTACGAGGTGGTTGTAAGCTCGGCAGAAAGCCGCCCTTTCTCCTTGGAAAGGATTTGAAAGCCTATTAATGGATAACAACACCTTTCTGCGAGCAAAGAATGCCAAATCCTATTCAGAAAGTCCCTTTTTAAATCAACCATATTGTTCTCAAGAGGATTTTGGGGTTTTTTTCCCTGCCTCTGAGAAGCCCATCCCAATTCCACCTAAGAAATCTGCAGGTTTTCCTTCTCGCTGTCCCACCCACAAACTGGGAACCTGCCACGTGGCAACTGGGAAGCACCATGTATGGGAGAATGACAGCATGTTGCTGCTGTTCAACACCCTGCCAGCTTTCTTCCTGCCTTATTTTTTTGGTGCTAGATGTGCCACACGTCACGGTGTCCTTAAAAATGAGCTTTTGCAGGCAAGTCCTTCTTAACTGTAGCAGACTAAAATTTATTCCTGAGCTTTGGCTGTTCCAGATGTCTCTATACAGATGTAGTGCCAGATTGTAACTATATGTTATCATATCCTACCACTAATATCAACTGGTTTAAAATCTACAATTGGAGTTAACTGGTACTAGAGTCCAGCTTGCAAATGCTTTTTGTGTGGGTCATCAAGCTGGTGACCTGGCCAGGTATCACCAGTCAACATGAGCTGTCGACTGTGGGGAGAGCTTTTCTTCAATATCATCATTTTTGTGAATAAATTTACTTTTTTTAAGTGCTTATCATGGCTTGCCTTGCCTTGGAAGCACCTCAGGTACCAAGAAGAAGTTTGTGGTGGGCCTTGGTGTCCCCCTGAGCCATTTGTGATGAAAGAAGTGATGGTATTTCTGCTGATAAAACGGGGCTTTTGCATTCAGCAGTTTGGCTGTATGCAGTTGTCTTTTGCTCATTGCATTTTAACTCAAGAGCTGCAGACAACCAATAATTATAGAGGTAAAAATGTGCATTCCCCCCCTAAAATAGTTTCCTTGAGTGAGCATTTGTTGTGGGCAACTCTACTGTCACCCTTAGACCTGTGGCTCTTGCACCAGGAGGACCAAGACTGTGGAAATACATAATTATTATGTAATATATATCATATTTTATATATAAATATTTATCCTTAGCCTCTAAGGAGGCAACGCTTACAAATACCCGGAGAACCTAAGACGAGTGGCTTTGTTTGCCCCCCTCCAGAGCACTGGGTCTTCTGCAAACTTGAGTTGACCGTGCTGTACCATCTAATCACCTGCTCAGAGAGATCAAACGTTCCCTCCGTAGCGGTGCATTCACCCAGATCTCGACACTTCCCCTCTTAATCTTGCTCCCCTACATCTCTGTTAGCAGCTGGGTAATTACCTCTTAGCTGGAAACTTGGGGAAAATATGCACTATCAACTTCTGATATCCTTAAGTCACTTCTAGTGGTACCAGGTAATTAATACCAAGTTTTTCTGATATTTGATGTTGCTTTGTGTTTCTGTGGCCACCAGGTAGGCCCTCATTCACTGAGGTCCATAAACAGGTGCCCACTTGAAGGCCTTGAATAGCAGCAGGTCAGCTGACAGGGACACGTGCTGAAGTGCCCTCCGAGTTGTTCAGCATTTGCATCCTGTGTTGCATGGGCCCTGCACGGGAGAGGATGTTTTCTGCCTCACCACGTTCCACAAAGCTGCAGGAAGCTCTCTCCACACTCATAAAATCATAGCGAGAGTCACGGTTGTGGAGGTGGGAAGGGATCTCTGGAGAGCTGTCCTTCCTCCTGCCCCAAATAGCCTCTTGTCCTTCCAGCGTATCTCTCTGAGAAGGTCTGGTTCCGCCTTCTCTACTCCATCCCACCAGGAAGTCACAGAGGGCAGTAAGATGCCCCTTGGCACTTTCCTTGCTGAGCAAATCAGCCCTTGGCCTCTGCTCAAGTGTCCTGTGCTCCAACCCCAACCATCTTTGTGGTCTCTGCTTGACACATGGCCAACCATCACTGTGTTGTACTTGGAGCCCTAAACTGGTCCCAGTGCCCAGCTGTGGTCTTGCAAGTGACAAAGAGTTGGGACAGATCCCCTTCCTCATCCTCGTGGCTGCATTCCTGCATGTACAGCCCAGGATGCATTTGGTGTCAGCACTGCAAGGGTGCCTGGCTGTGTCCTGGGAGCTTTCACAGAATCCCAGAATCATCTTGGCTGGAAAAGCCCTTGAACTCCTCCAGCCCAACCATGACCCTCCCCCTGACCGTTCCCAACTCCCCCAGATCCCTCAGCGCTGGCTCAGCCCGACTCTTCAACCCCTCCAGGGATCCCGGGGACTCCCCCCTGCCCTGGGCAGCCCATTCCAACGCCCAACAGCCCCTTCTGCACAGAAATCCTTCCTCAGAGCCAGCCTGACCCTGCCCTGGGCAGCTTGAGGCCATTCCCTCGGGGCCTGGCGCTGGGGCCTTGGCTCCAGAGACTCATCCCCCCTCTCTGCCCCCTCCTGGCAGGGAGTTGCCGAGGGCCAGGAGGTCTCCCCTCAGCCTCCTCTGCTCCAGACTGAACCCCCCCAGTTCCCCCAGCCGCTCCCCAGCAGACCTGTGCTCCAGCCCCTGCCCCAGCTCCGTTGCCCTTCTCTGGCCACGCTCGAGTCCTTCAATGGCCTTTTTGGGGTGAGGGGCCCAGAACTGAACCCCCTCAGCGAGGGGCAGCCTCCCCAGTGCCGAGCCCAGGGCTCAGATCCCTTCCCTGGCCCTGCTGGCCACGCCAGTGCTGACACCAGCCAGGATGCCGTTGCCCTCCTTGGCCCCTGGGCACACTCTGGCTCATTCTCACCCCCCAGTCCCTCTCTGACCGGCAGCTCTCCAGCCACTCCTCCCCAGGCCTGTAGCCCCCCTGGGGGTTGTTGTGGCCCAAGGGCAGCCCCCGGCATTTGCCCTCAGTGAAACTCCCCCAGTTGGGCTCAGCCCATGGCTCCAGCCTGCCCAGGGCTCTCTGCAGCCTCCCTGCCCTTGAGCAGACCCACACTCCCACTTGTTCCCCAGGGTTGTCTTCTACAAAGGTGCTTTCCAGGAAGTTGACCACGACCTTTTCCGCTGCGTGGGGTTAATTCTATACTAAATGCAGGTGTTTCTGGCCTCATCTTGCAGTTTTAAAAATTCAGGGTAAAGTTGGCCCAAAAAAATCAAAAATACCTAAGAGTTTATGGCCTGGCATGAATATCCTCAATATCTCACTGTCTCATCAAAGTGAAAGTTGGGCTTCTCTGTGATTTCAAGTGCTGTTGACTATGTCATCATTGTGTTGACGTTGGAGATATTACTGACCCTGTCCGTCTTTCTCCGTTTAGCCGTGCTGTTCAGCGGAGTTTGGCCATCATCCGTCAAGCCAAGCAGAAGAAAAAGAAGAAGGAATACTGTATGTACTACAACCGCTTCGGCAAGTGTAATCGCGGGGAGAGCTGCCCCTACATCCACGACCCAGAGAAAGTGGCCGTCTGCACCAGGTATGGATGGACACAACCGCATGCTTTGGCTCATCATGGTAGACTGGACCATTGGTTGCCTTTGGTCCTTGCTCATGTGCTATTCCCCAGGGAAACAACCTGGTAACTGAGATTTAAGCCCATGAGAACAACTGTTCTGGGTCAGGCCTAGGGTTTACCCAGCGCTGTTGGGTTGGGAGATACCTACAGGCAGAGGACAAGACGAGAGCAGCGGTCTTTCTCCTGGCTGGGACCTCTCAGCTTCTGGCAGTGAAGCCCAACAGCATGGTGGGGTTTGTTTTTCAATTGCTAGAGGTTGTCAGCAAACCATCATCATGTCAGTAGTTCTTTTTTTCTTGTGAATGAATTTATTCTTTTCTTTAACACACCGTATTTATGGCTGTGGGTTGCACAGCTGAGTTATGGGCTGCGTGACAAGGGCTTCCCTCACCCGGCTGCCTGGCTGGTGTGCTGGGTGCCTCCTCACTAGTGGTTCTTGAGAAGGATGGAATAACCATTCCCTGATCACCTTCTAGGCACCACTTAGAACTATACAGTCCTACCCTCTCTGTCCAGACTTCCCAGACTGGAGAATCACGGTCTGTTTAGTCTCTTCTAGTAACTTTTCTCTAAATTTACACAGCATTTTACACCTATTAATGCCAATAAAGCATCACACAACCAGCCTTTAAGTTAAATACACACATTTTGGTAGTTCTGCACAGCCTGTAGGGATTACAAAAATATTTATTTCACATTTTGGAGGTGGATATTATCACCAGAACATTCCCGTCTAAGAAGTAACTTGCCGTATGGTAGTACAGAAGCTCTAAAAAAAATTTAAAAATCAGAGTAGTGTTTTAAGAATTAGTAATAAGATCAAATCAACTTTTCTTAAAAATAAGCAGAATAATAGTGATTTAGTTACTGCTGTCAGGTTGAAGATGCCGTCAGGGTTTGCCAGGTGGAATTTAGAGCCTTGAGAGCCTGCTGTGACCACGCACTGGGTGATTTCTTCTAGCAGCGTTTCTCAGATCCACTTGGACTCGTGCAACAGGTTTGAATCCTTCAGCCTGTGACACCGCACGGCTACGAGACTTGGTAATTTATTACAGGAGGACTGATTCATGTTGCCAGCTCATTATACCTGCCCAACAGTTGATTAAACTATATTATTAGTCGTTTAAAAAGGGTAGAAAAGCCAACTCCACTGATGAACTCTTTGAGTAATTTCTCCGTAAAATTGCTGCTGTGCTAGAAATCATTTGGAGGTTGGACAAAGCTTGATGGGAGACTGTATAGGAGGGATCGGTGATTTATTGTTTTTTTTTAACTGATTTTACTTGCTCTCACTCATTCTCCCATATCACATCCTTACGAGCACCGAGGTGGATGTCCAAGGTGTCTGGTCAGGATTATTTCTGGTGCTGTAGAGGACGAGGGATGCCAGCTGCTGAGTCTTCACTTTGAATCCTTGGTTCTTCTTATGTTGGCAACCAAGTCTGGATTTGGTCTGTGCTCCTTGTGTACTTTAGGAATTGAGGTCTTTTGGGCCTCCAAACTGTTCCATTTCCTTGAATCACTAGAGGACAACGCTGGTTTTCTCCCTGTTTTATATCTCCTTACCCTGGTGCCTTTTATCTCCAATCCCGTTCTTTAGGTTTCCATTGCCATCTCTTAATTTTCTCAGTCTGCTTTTGGTTTAGGTTGTCCTTGATTTTCCAGGTCTGGGTGTTTCGAGGAGGTGCACATAGCTATGCTGTGATCACAATCCTCTGCAAACCTAGTTGTCATCAACCGCTGGTTTCCATATCTATATGTCCCCATTCAAACAATCTGAATTCTGTTTTATTAGTAATGAATCTCTTCATGCTCAGCTCTGTATCTACCCAGTTTTTATAAATAAAGCTAGGGCATAGTCTGTGCTCTAGAAGCTCCCTTCAGGGCTGTGGAACTGAGAGCACGTACACCTGGAGTCTTTTTCTGGGGGGTTCAGACCATCACTCTTCCCACGATAACACGTGTTTTATTAATCTGCTGTCACACTGATAGCTCCTAGAAAAAAGTCCGAACATCCTCATGTGCTTTGGGATGTTAGTTCCTGGTTTGTACCTATCTCTGCTCCTCCTGGTTGTTGGCCACTCACACCTAAAGTCCTCCTGGTGCTTCTTCCAGTGTCTGCTGTAATCAGGGCTCTAGTAAGGACCTTATTCCTTCTGGGAGCGTCATCTTTGTGGTACAAGCCTTGCTCTACCTACTAATGAGCAGCCAAATACAGTGAAAGCACAAAATCTATCAGGAAGCATCAGCTGCTCTTCTAACAAGGACTCATAACAATTTAGGGTGTGAAATGGGCTTTAACAGTGAACTCGGCAGCAGTCTGGCCTTGGGGCAAGCATGGTAATGGGGCAAGACAGATGCTTGGTGTTCAAAACCACGTGTTTTGCGACCAGCCTCGTGCTCAACCCTCTCCTTCTGATGTATCTACAGGTTTCTCCGTGGCACGTGCAAGAAGACGGACGGGACCTGTTCGTTTTCCCACAAAGTGTCCAAAGACAAGGTCTGTATGGCTTCCCAGCGAGCACGGTGGTGGATGTAGGGGAGTCTACCTCATTGAATGCTTCCAGCAGAGTTTGTTTGTACTTTGCTTGCCAAGCTGTCCAGGCTCACGCTGGGGTTGTGAGAGCAAAGTGTGCCTCTTCCGCCGGCGTGGTGAATCGGTAGCTGAATGCGTTAAGCAGCAGATTGGAAACTCTGAGCACGTCTGCTGGGGAGCGGCTGGGGGAACTGGGGGGGTTCAGTCTGGAGCAGAGGAGGCTGAGGGGAGACCTCCTGGCCCTCGGCAACTCCCTGCCAGGAGGGGGCAGAGAGGG